AAACTACTATTTATTTATTTATTTATTTATAATGCACGCATGGGTGCGCTACATGTCAATGAAAACAGATAGGTTACAAAATGCAACAGTCAATTGTCATGTCAGAGGAAAAATGAACAAAACGAAAAAAGATACAAATATAGCAACACAAATTCACATGTGTAAGAACCACTCCAGACTAGAACCATCTAAAAATCCTGCAATCCTAACAAATTCATCAGATCGACCTTTTTTAGCTTACTTCTAAACGCATAGGTGCTAGGCGCCCTCTGCAGGTCTGATGGCAGGGACTGGAGCCATCTCGCTCCTCGGAAAAATAATGAGTTGAAAACCCTGGTTCGATGCCTTCTGTGTAGTTTAGGACATTGCAAGGACAGCGAAGAGATGCGGCCATTGGTCGGCCTCAGTATCCAGTACTTACTGGGTTTCAACCTTAGCTCTCCTTTCAATACCTTAAAACAGAACACAATATCATTAAACACTCTTCTATACTTCAGTGACTTTAGATTGAAAAGTTGCAGGCGTTCCCTGTAACTGGGTAAGCTGCCTGGGTATGCAGGGTTGGGATAACACCGGTACATCAAAACTCTGGTAAAAGTTTGCTGGACCTTTTCGATTTTTGCCTGAAGTTTCCTGGTGTGAGGACTCCATATTTGCGAACCATATTCAAGTATGGGGACAACATAAGCTTTGTATAACTTCAAGAAAATCGAAGAATCACTTTGTCGGACATTCCTGAAGATGGCAAAAAGGGTCATGAAAGCCTTCCGAACAATGATATCAATGTGATGCGTAAACTCCAAACTGGAACTCACATGAAAACCAAGGTCACGTACTTCATTTGAAGTAATCTGAGCATGCCGTTTACGGTGTCCGGAAACAATCCTGCGCTTCTCCCATATGCAAGAACAATGTTTTGAGAAATTCACCAAGGTATTCCCCACGCAGCAGCCCACTCCATAATGTTACATATAGACTGGGTCAACGCACGGTGCACGGAGTTATGACTATCGTTATCATAAACGCCATATATTTTTATGTCATCTGCATATATTTTGATCTTGACCAGAGGGTGAGTATCAAGATAACCGGGTAGGTCGTAGGTGTACGCTAAGAAAAAGGCACGGGTGACAGTCACACCTCCCTGGCGGGACTGTCCACTATCACAGGAAAAGTCCGCGAGAAACTATGCACGATAGGGCGAAGAGTAAATCTGGTTGCCACCTTAACAATCATATGCCTGTCTTCCAAATAAGAACGAATCCAGCTGAGTATGGGTCCTTCGATTCCCAAAAGCCACAACTTATGAACGAGCTTTTCGTGGTTCACTTTATCAAAAGCTTTGACAAATCAACGCACGAAAATATTTTTTTAAAATATACAATAAATTAAAAAATACTATTTGAGGTATTGCTCATGCTTCAAAGTCCGAATAGAGGGTGATGAAGATGACAAAGGCTAGAAATGAAGAACAACGAATGTAGATGTAAATAAAACAAAATTGAAAAAAACTAAGGAAACGCAAAATTAAAATCGCGTGTGCATTTCTGCGAAATCCAGGACAATCGAATCCGGCTCCTAAAGCTATATAGAATCTTCAAAACTAATGAGTGGGAACGCGGCGTCTTTATTGTCGATAGTTCATGTGGGAATGCGCAGCCTCTGAAGGAATTATAAGAAGCACCAGACAGTTTCTCTTTGAGTTTTGCCCTGGTCATTATCTTCGATATCTTTATATTTGCAGCAAAAAACTAAAATAATATATCCGCATAAAGAAAATGCGATTGTACTTGTATTCACGCAGAAGCGCATTCCGACCTATGGGCAAAAAAGCCAGAGAAAGCACGCGACCACGCGCAGCCGAGACCGGTGTTAGTAAAAGATGCAGTTCGCGAAAATAACAGGCAGGTTAAGACAGGATACGAACGAACTCATTCCAACGAAGAAAAGCCGTACTCTGGATCCCAAACATAGTGCAGTTTTGAGCGAGAAAGGTAACCACACGACCAAACCACAAAAGAAAACAAAAATCGAAGTGGCGGCTGAATAGTCCTCATGCACCCTCATGTGTTTAAAGCGATACCAATGTGATTTCCAGGCATGAGCGCGTTTGAGTGTACCATGTGTCTTTAAAATATTTGCGGTGGTGCGACACCCCGCATATGGCGGCACTTGCTGACATCCTTGCTGCAATCGGGAAGTAAAACTTATGAAATCATGCAAATAAAAAGAAATAATGAGCTTTCAACAGAAAAAAGAGCAAGTAACTCATCAACCTGTACTGTCATCTCGTTTATCCAGATCTGAAAATAAAGACATAGGAATCCGAAGCGTGGCTTTTCACAGCAATGTTTTTTCTTTATTCCATTTTTGCAGTAGGGAAACGGGTATTTCTATCTTAATCCCTACACAACTCATAAGGACGGCAAGTTGAAAAACATCCTCTAGTCGAGGAGAAGTTACGAAAGCACTGGGTTATGGGCAGGAGGATTGGTCTTTGCCAAGGGTCAAATATGATCTTACACTTATCGTGCTACTGTGCTTTCTTACGTTCCCGGGGCCACGATGATCTCGAATCTCAGGATCTAGCCCCACTGAAGTAACTTCCTTTTGCACTTACCTTAGATCATTGTTCATGGAAAAATTTTTGGCCACAATAAAAAAATGCCTTTAATATTGAGGTCCCAAAGTCCCCTCACTGAGTATAGAAAACAAACCTTGTCCGTGCTCGTATGGCCTTCTCACTGATTGCTCTCTGTATGGATATCGCGTTGTAGGTGAAATCATGGGGTTCCAGTCCTTCACTGTCGTCTTGTGCTGCAGTTCATACCCGCGGTCATAGACGGTTGTTTCTTCGAGGACTTCATCCTTAGAGGTATTGATGACCGGTATGTCATCGGCGGCAGTAGTTTCGACCTCTGACGGCAGTGTAGTAGTTGGAATGATGCCCAATGTGAAGTTCTGGACCACCTCGTTCAGTTTCTGAGAAAGCTGGGTGAGCTTTTCGGCGTCTGGTGTGAGTTCTTCCTGAAAAAATGGTATGCTTATTACTGCTTCATCTAAAAATGTCGTTCAAAGGCTCATATCGGAGCTTTGCTCACATCGCTCTGTACCGCAAGAGCGACGGGAGCAGCAATCAGCATCATTCCAGCAACACAAACCGGAGCATTGAATTGTTCTGGTACTATTTATCCTTTACTACCCCACTTTTCAGAGTTCGGGTACAACCTTCGTCCTGTCCGAAAATTGGCCTCCAGAGTATTTCGACTTCCTGAACACGAATCCCGCCTGACTTGAAGCCACATGACGCCTGTGCCACAGGCACCGGCCCTTGATTATCCCTAATCACGAAACGTGCTGAAAACTTGTCTCCAGGGACTACCTTGACCTTCTGGACACGAACATCACGTTTGCATAAGGTGCCAAGGGAGTTAAGCAAGGCGGAAAAGGGGAGGGTGCAAGTGGTAGCGCGGCGTGCTTCTGCTCGTCCCTACCCTTCCCCAAATGGTTATTCCCTTCTTCGATGAGGCTGAACCTCAGCCCTCAGCAGATGGAACAATCACTTTCGCAGGCAGCCAGGAAGGGTGCTGCATTGTCTCTCCGTGTTTCGATAATTGCACTAGCACAGTAATCAGGCAGAAGTGCTAGAGTAGGAGCTATAGGATTGCTTTAACGGCGGCTTCCATGCCATAGTCTCTGACGCAGTCTCCCTGGTTTATGCGTGGAACCAGCAGATAGCGGGACTCTGTGTTAAGAGGGTCAAACCAATCTTCGAAAAAAGTTTCAGGCAAACCTGCCAGAGAAAAAAGTCGGCAGAAAACTGTCCTGGTTCCGGAAGGTTCTGTCTGTGAGGGGTAGCAGTCCCATTTTTCTTTGCTGTACTCTGTCTGCAAGGGTTTTTGGCGGTCTCATCGTGAACCATGACACCCATTTCTGGCGCAGATTGCAATTCTGAACTCTTCCGTCGGACTCGCTGTGGTCTTTAGTGCTCTGATCACGAATGAAACAAGTGTGTTGAATACTAGTGATTGGTTCCACAGAGCAGGAGAGTATAGTACACCCACTCGCCCATTCCTCACTAGGGGCGCTTCCAAGCCATCAGTGTGTTCATGAACAAATATACTGTGATATCAACAACCACGACGCTGAAGATACTCCTTGATTCTCGTGATTTGCGAGAAAGTAAAGACGCCAAAAAATGAGTGTTGTGTCCGCCATTGATTAGGACGCCAAGAAACCCTTTCGAACAGGATAGTGCAAAAAAAGGAACAGAGGCAGCACAGCATGAAGAGCACAAGATCGCTGTGCAAATCAAAAGTGTTTGGGCTGCAAAGGGAGAGGACTGGTTCACGAGGGATTCATCTGATTGCTGATCCTTTCTTTCATGCGTGAGCGTGTGGCTCGCCGTGAGGGCTTTCTCGACACACTGGACCGTAATTAATGGAATAGAGCCAAGTACCATGGAACTGAATTAAAGAATGTTCTCAGAAGGGGAGATTGTTGAGTGTTCAGGAGAGTTTGTTAGAGACTGCCGAAATAGCTCCTGTTTCAATAGCTGATATTGGAAGCTTCCCTCCGTCACGCACTTTTCAGCCGCAAAATCGGCAGAACCCTGTAACTGCGAACAGAGCCCGTCGTACGTCGGATGATCCCAGTGAGGGGGGGGGGTGTCGTAGTTGGTCGCTAGAACGAGAGAGGTCATATTTTCCTCCGATAAAAGTGTTGGCTTTCAACAGGATTTTTGGTGAATAGTGGAGGAGAAGTTTTGAAGAAACTCCGAAAAGTTCTGGGAAGTTTTAAGAAGTCAGTAGTTGGTAGGTGAGGAAGGGTGAGAGGGGGACCAGAAGACGTCCGACGGCAGGACGTCCCTAATTTATACTTACGAGAGGATTGCACCATTCTGGTATCAGTGGACTGTGCCTTAATCAGGAAAGAGTAATATCTGTTGAGTTTACCTTGAAAGGTTCACAAATGAGTGATGACTCAGTGATTCCGATTTTCTTAGCATCAGCTGTGTCCCTATACCATAACACTCGCTCATGTTCTCTGCAGATTTCCTTGTAAAGCAAGCCAACAGCCTGAAACAGTAACTCAAAGGTGTTGTCGAATAAAAAAAGCCAGAATACCTATCCGTGACGGAATTGAGATGAATAAGCGTGAAGAAATTACAGCGAAACAACATTTTAAAAGATAGTCATGGTTGATCTCTCATGAGATACTGTCGGCAGATATCATGCTGTATTATTGTACCAGGACAGAAAAA